GTCTTAATGACTTTATTGTGGAAAACCTTTTATAAGCAATCCAAAGACATTTCAACATTTTAATTCTGGGCGTGAAAGCATGACTAAGGTGGCAGCAGTACCTAATGGCTTAGAAATATGTATCTGCACTGTGGTATCTCTTAGTGACAAAGGAATCATACAAATGTGTTTTGATAATTTAGTAATAACATATGCTTTTATTAGTAGTACTGATTTGGTCAAGTAGATGGGGCCTGGGAAAACTATATAAATTGTCATTTGGTTTTCTGAATTGAGCTCTCAAATTTTTGAGGAAAGCATTGTTTTTCTTGTCAAGCAATAGTAAGATGCAAGATGCTCCGTTATCTAGAGAACTGTTTAATCAAGAATGTTGAAGAACTTTTGGACCTTTGGACTTATTTTTTTTTTTTTTGGTTTTTTGAGACAGGATTTTCCTGTGTAACTTTGGAGCCTGTTCTGGTACTCACTCTGTAGACCAGGCTGGCCTTGAACTCACAGAGATCCACCTGCCTCTGCTTCCTGAGTGCTGGGATTAAAGGCATGTGCCACCAATGCCCAGCTTGAACTTTTCTTTTTATTGTAGAATGTGTCATTTCAAAAGTGTTTTAAGGGTTAGAAGCACAGCTCAACAGTTAAGAATACATGCTGCTCTTACAGAAGAATAGAGTTTGATTCCCAGCACCTACATAGGACTGTAACTCCAGCTTCATGAGATCTGATGCACTCTTCTGACCTCCACGGGCAGCTGCACTAATATGCACATACCCATGTATATACACATAGTTAAAAATGAAATTAATCTTCAAAATCAAAGGAATTTAGTCATTCTGACTGCTGTAACAAAATACTACAAATCAAGTGGTTTATAAATAATAAATATTTCATGGTACTCAAGGCAGGACACTCAATGTGGGTCTGGTGGACACCTAGGAAAAAGATGGGGGACAGGGGACACAAGGATGGACGCCAAGACAAGAGTCTGATCAAGGCGACAACTTCATTCATCCCAAAGGGATTTATATAGGGAAAGGGAGGAGGGGAAGGAATGGGGGGTGTGCTGCAGCTGCATTGAGCCTGGTGGAGCGAAGGTCAGTGGGATGGGTAGGGCATCCTGTGTCCTCTGGAAACCTAATTGCAGATTCTAACTTTATCTTTCACATTCCACTTTCTATTGTTTAAGCCTAAGTCCTAGATGAGCCGCAGGTCTGTTTCCGGAATTTGGCAGGTAGCAGGGTGGTCCAGAGTCACATACTCTCTATGAGGGTTGGGTCACATCTTCTCTTATGAGTATGTGAGGCAGCCATTTCTGGTTGATGGCCAGAGGACCCTGACACTGCACCCTACATTTTCATCGGATTGTTTGGTGTTTTGGTCACTAGCTTCTTGAGTTCATTGTATATTTTGGAAATCATCCCTCTGTCAGATGTGGGTTTTGTGAAGATCTTTTCCCATTTTGTGAGCTGCCATTTTGTCTTGTTGACTATGTTCTTTGCCTTACAGATGCTTCTCGGTTTCAGGAAGTCCCATTTATTAATTGTCGATCTCAATGTTTGTGCTACTGGTGTTATGCTCAGGAAGCAGTCTCCTGTACCAATGCATTCAAGTTACCTCCCACTTTCTCTTCTAGAGATTCAGTGTGGCTGGATTTATGTTGAGGCCTTTGATACATTTGGACTTAAGTTTTGTGCATGGTGATAGATATGGACCTATGTTCAATCTTCTACATTCATGCATCCAGTTATGCCAGGACCATTTGTTGAAGATGCTTTTTTTTCATTGTATAACTTAGCTTCTTTGTCAAAAATCAGGTGTTCATAGGTTTGTGGGTTAAAATCAGGGTTTTCAATTCTATTCTATTGGTCTACCTGTCTACTTTTGTGGCAATACCAAGCTGTTTTCAGGACTATGGTTCTATAATAGAGCTTGAAGTCAGAGATGGTGATGCCTGCAAAAGTTGCTTTATTGTACAGGGTTGTTTTGGTTATCCTGGGTTTTTTGTTTTTCCGTATAAAGTTGAGTATTTTTCTTTCAAGGTTTGTGAAGAATTGTGTTGGAATTTTGATGGGGATTGCATTGAATGTGCAGATTGCTTTTGGAAAGATTGCTATTTTTACTATGTTGATCCTACCTATCCAAGAGCATGGGAGATCTTTCCATTTTCTGGTCTTTGTTGGGGTCATCCTTGTGGATCTCTGGACATTTCCCTAGTATCAAATTTCTGTTTAAACCTATACTGGCTCAGTCTATTAAGGTATCTCTTTTCTTGTTCTACTCTATTTTTACCCGTGACTCAATCTTCCTGATCCCTCATGTACTCCTCCCCCTCCTCTTCTCCCCTTCAATTCTTCTATATATAAATTAAATAAACATAAAATATCATTTAAGAAATATATTAAAATGTGCTTTCGAATGTTAGTTGAATGAATTGCCATACATTCAAAACAAAATCACTTTCTTTTTATATTATTCAATTACCAAGGATGAACCTTTCATCCTGTGACTGTGCCTTGAAATTATCCTTTCCTTTGTTGTCCTTTGGTCTCATTCAGTAGAAGAATCAGTCACTTACATGTGTAGAATCCAGGGAAATGGTAAAAGCAGAGGGAGGCAATACAGGGTGGTAGAATCTTGAATAACTGGAGACCAGGTGTTCTCAGTGTGGCACAACTGTTGTTCAGTTAAAAAGAACAACCCTTGCCTTGTATGGAACTAAGAAAATAAATGTAAATGTCTAAAATTTATAGACGATCAATTCACAGCTAACATTTCCAGCCTTGTCAAGGCTTGCATATTCTGGCAATGGTTCCTGCCTTTGGTTCCATTTGTTTACAATCCAAATCCATTTCTGAATTGGCAACAGAATGAGGTTTCCAGGATTGCAGAAAAATTTGGACAACCATCCCCTTTAAATGTCGACTTTCTAATCACCTCAGTGTAGACTGTAAAATGCAGAGGTCAAAACTCGCATTAAGTCCATGACATACACATGGGCTTCTTGGATCTCTTCTTGCTGTTTCAGTCTCACTGCTCACAACTGGTCCTCCCGTGGGTTACAGACTAACATGCCTTTGGCCAAGTGTACATGTTCCTTGCTCCCTTTGCCAGTCTTTCCTTCCAAGCCTTAGCCTGCTGTGGATACCCATCTCAGTTCTCTCTATGCTTGGCAGACTGTTCCTCAGGATACAGATTTTTTTAAATGTCCTAAAGGCTCCTTGCCTTATGCATCAGTTTTTATTTATTTCTTCCCACTTTAGTAATTCACCTTGTCATCTTTTAATGTGCAGATCTCATCTGATTCTTTTTTACCTCCCCCAGTAGCAGCCCAGTGTGGAGAAACTAATGTGTGCTATGTTTATACGGAGATCTAAATATCATTATATTGACAACATGTTTGCTCTGTCTTGATATGTAGGTAGTAATAAAGGAAATGGTGGGGGTGGGGTTTTTATGAATATTTATGAAAAGGAAGGATTTGGAAGGATGTGAAAATATGTCATCTCCAAGGCAATAAACTTACTTAATTCTGACTCTCTACGTCCTGAACGAACTGTATGTTCTTGGTTTTACCTTATTTTGGGAATATCCTACCTTAGGCTCTAAAATAGTACTATTTAGAAAACAGGTCAGAAATCCCATAAATACTATTTGTGAGTTGATTTCAGAAAGCACCAATAAATGTGGTGTCACCTAGCTGTTGACTGATTGGACCATATGAGATGGTATCTCCACCAGTTGTATTTGATGGGCATTTCTGTGGTGGCTGGCTCCTGCAGCTGTGTGAGGCAATCTTCTCTTTACACTACACCGGGTATACAGTTCATAATGTTCTGACCTATGTGATTTATGTGTCTATTTTCCCCAGCTTTTGTTTTGATATCAGAAACCATTAATCCTTCAGAGCTGTGTGGTTGTAACGCTAGCTGCCAACAGCAATGATTTGAAATTGGAATGGGAATGTGCTCCAGCCTTTTATTATAATTCTGATATGCTTTCGAATGACCACATTTTACAGCTGGAAAAAAAAGCAAATATAAAATGTACCTGAATTCCTCAGTGGAAAAAAACATGTTCACTCTTACTTAATCTAGGCCTGAGTTTTCTTACCTTATCTTTATATAAACTTTGTATATAAGGTACAACAACACTTATCTTCCTACTTGCTAAAATATAACTAATAAACAAATTATTATTTCTATGGATCAACATTCTCTTGAATTTGTATAGAGATTAACATTTTTGTATGATGAAAAATACCAAGCTTTCTCTCCTACTAACCCATCTCATTAGCAATCAGCAATAAATTTTATTTTTAATTTCCTTGTGTCGTTTTATAGAGATAACATATTAAAGACTAATTGGTGGGTCATTATAAATATGTACTCTTACTCTTTAGTTACCATAATGACAACTAATGTCATAGAAGCCTTTTATTTAAAATTAGACTCTCACGAACCCCTAGGGTATCCTTTATTCTGTGCATAATGAGTGAAAAAAATATAATTCTTCAGCCTTGAGAGAATCCATGCAAATGATTTTGGTGATTTTAGTGCCATTAAACATTGAATGAAAGGTTTAGTAGTTATGAATCGCTGTGTTTGTTTGGAGTGACTATGTGGGAGGAAGGTGACACTAAAGAAAAACTATAGAGAAGAAAAGGACAAGGGGTATGTAGGTCAGTCCATGTATATGTTAGCTTATCTCCTAAGACACCTGCAAACCTCACTAATGAAAATGTTTCTCAAGGATATCCAGTCCCAGAGAAAACCAGGCATACACTTAGCCCATTTTCAACTAATTCATTCTTCTTCAAAGGAGCAAAAGTCCAAAACTTATCTGTGGTTTGCCACATCCCACAACACATTTTTTTTATCTTTTTTCGTTAATTTTTAAATGCATTCCAGGATTCTGCCTTCACTTTGAGAAATGAAGTATCTCATTTTATACCACGAGAACTTCAGATACTAAGTAACTCCCTTTGTGGGACTTGATTTCTTTTTCAGGGAATGATGTACCTGGAAGAAAGACGGCTTGTTCATCGGGATCTGGCAGCTCGTAATGTCTTAGTAAAATCCCCAAATCATGTGAAAATCACAGATTTTGGATTAGCCCGACTCTTGGAAGGAGATGAAAAGGAATACAACGCTGATGGTGGCAAGGTAGGTATGGTTGAGAGCAACATTTCTTGAAAATGTAGTAATAGTAATGACTCTAATAATAACAACTGTGTGATGATTCTTGGGTACTCAGAATATGAACCTTTAACACAGGCCATAAACATTGTCCCATTGGTCCTGTGACTATAAAACTATTATACAATGGCAGTTTCCTATGTCCTGAGAAGCTTAGGGACTCCCAACCATCATAATTCATCTGGAATTCTCACTTCTAATCTTCCTAGCATCAAAAAATGTCACCTTGCAATTGCAGAGTATAGTTGCTTTGATTTCACTTTAGTGAAATGATTATACTATAGTGAATGATTTACCTACATTGCTTATCACTTGACTGTCCAATAAAATACAAGCTAAGCTACTAATATTGAAGAAAGTTGAATCCAGTTACATCTTTAGCTGTCTTTTCCAATCCCCCAACTCATGTTCTGCCTGACAACTGTGTATCTACATGTCACCCTCACCATATGGTTTCACCCATATCTTAGTTATAAGTCTTTTTTATTTTTTGCTGATTAATCTACATTCTTGGCTAATCAATTAGGGAAATTTGTATGTGAAGATCCATTTTACTTGACCTGGAGAAACCTGTTAGATCAAGTTAATGATGCAAACCCATGAAAACTTAACCCCTAGTGAACTATGAAGCTTGGATAAAAAGGATTATTTACATATATGAATCTGTTAATTATATACATTACTTTTACCACAAATAAATATTTGCAATAATAGACTTCTAAGTACCTTGCATTGATTCATCCTAGATCTTTACATAATCGTCTATATTCAAATTATACCACAAAGTAAGATAACAAAATTTTATAAAATACAAAAATTTCATGGTTTAGAAATAATCTGACCTTTCCCTGATCTTATCAGCTTATTTTGTCTGTCTACTACCAAACTACGGTGACTTGAAATAACAGCTCTTAAATTCTCAGCAACATTTCTCAGAAATAGCAGTCTATAAATCACATGACTTCACCTGTCTTAAGAACATACAACTGTAAGGTTTGTCTAAAGCAAGATTCATTATAGCCTTAAGTGCCTGGTCACCATTAAGTCTTTATCAAGCCACCTATGATTTAAACTTACTTCTATAGCACGGTGTCCATAGTCCATAAAGCCTGCTAACTCCTTGCCCATAGGGAAATTACTTTCAATGTGTCTTCTGTTCCTTTTCACTGAATCCCATGATTCTGTCATAGAGTTACCTTGGTGTCACCTTGGTGAGCAGCCAACCTCATGATTTCAAATGCTTATTTAGTTTTAAGCTTTCAACTGCAAAGTAGAAGTGTTTATCGTTATTCCATAGAATCTAATTATATCCCAAGCTACTTAATGCTGCCCTTTGAGTTGAAACACATTCTGCTGACCCATCATCCGCAGAGTATGTGGGTTGAGTGTTTTTCTTGTAGTGATGATGGATTTGTGCTGATCCTCTCACATTCTTTTATATTCCTAGTTCCTATTTTGAAAATGGCACATATTTTCAGTTCTGGCTAGCCCAGGCAAGGGAGATCATTTGTGGCTGGGAAACAACGCAAAGCTAACTATGAAATTCATGATTTTAGAGTATTCAGTGGCCAGAAGAGGAAGTGGGGGCAACTGAAGAAAAAACTCCATTCTATCTGTGGTCAAAAATATATCTGAAGGAGAAATGGGATCACTGAAAATGGAGGAAACTCATTTATTGGAAAACATAATACAGAAACATTTTTAATTTGATAGTGTCAGTCATAATACTAGCTCTTAATTTAAATACCACATATTAAGAAATAAAGCTGTTGAGATGTTGGATTTTCTTTTTATTGTTTATGACCGTTTAAAATATACCCTTTGGATAATTTACTTCATAGATTTTATAAATTTCAATTCACTTGTCCCCTGTCTTGAAAAACAACTAGTTTATAGCTATGGAAACACCATCAAAAATATAACTGAGGTCAGACCAGAGACTAGCATTTAGAAAATATAAAAATTATTTCTTGCGTGATTTTTTTAATAATTCAATTTTTATTCCTTCTATAGATGCCAATTAAATGGATGGCTCTGGAATGTATACATTATAGGAAATTCACTCATCAAAGTGACGTTTGGAGCTATGGTAAATAAATCTTTATCAATTTGATCTTTTAAAGAAAAATATGTTTATATCATACCTCATACAAAATACATAAAGGCATATATATAGTACTGGAAGCACTTACTTATAGGCTTAACTCCCTAAAGCAATTAACTATTAATTAAAAAGCTAAACACCCCAAATCACAATTTTATGTATTTTTTGTGATATTTTCTGTTCTTCTATGATGTAAAATATATTATCACTGCTAAATTTTATGCTATAAGCTCTTGTTTGATACAATTTGTCTGATTAATCTGTTTATTCTTACACAAACAGAAAAACTGGCCAATGTTAGAAACAATTTCTTAGAATCTCATGACCTTAATTTTCAACAGTTCTTTGGTCATATAACTTTGAAGTGATCAGTGTGAAGGGGTAAAACAAACAAAACCATATTTTTGTTTGTCTGTTTGATTTTTAGTTAAAAGAATATATGTCCTATGGTAGAAAACATGGTTATTGTGGCAACAAGGAGCAACTAATGAACTCAGTAAAGTAATTATGAAAGTGGTGACAAGAGAACATTGCTAATTGTGGATTTGATTTTCATTTACAAACTTTTTAGATGACAGAAAGGTTAAATGAATGATAGGCAAGAGACATTAGTATTTGTGATTAGAACATTTTTCTTTACATTGAACTCAGTTGTTGAAGTGAGCTAGTTAGTAACTTGTTTGTGCTTACAACTTCGTACACCTACAACATAACTAGAAGGGTTCAATGCTTTGTGTAAATTTAAATATACCACATAAAACTAGTGTCAATTGGTAATAAAACCACAAAGCCTCTAGACCTGTAAGATGACTCCAAAGGTAAAGGAGCTTACTGCCAAGCCTTATGGTGTGAATTCCATCCCCAGAACCCATATGGTAGAAGGAGAACACGAAATCTTTCAAGTTGTCCTTGGATTTCCACTATCTCCTGTGGCATGTGCAGACCCCCACATTCGCACACACAATAAATAAATTTATGTAAAAAAACAAAGAAAAAAAAAAAGAAATACAATCCCTGGTGTGACTACTAGAGTTAACTTTCAACTTGATAGTGTCCAGAATCACCCTGGATATTTGCTCTAGGGAATCACTATGACTGTGGGATACTATCTTGAACACATGCATTGAGACAAGAAAATCTACCCACTGTGAGCGGAATCATCTTCTTGACAAGACATCCTACATCATATAAAGTGGACAAAGTGCACTGAGTGCATTCATACCTCCTTGTCCCCTGATAGTGGATGTGATGCGACCAACTGCTTCAGGCTCCTGCTGTCTTGACATTTTCACTATGAGAAATTATTCCCTGAACTGTGGGTGAAAATAACCCCCTCCCCATAAGTTTCTTTAGTCAGAGGATTCTTTCAAAGAAACAGGAAATGAAACTGAGACAGTAACTGGTGCCAAGAAATGGAGCTTTTGTTGTAATAAACCTGACGTCACAGATTTTAGTCCTTTGGAACTGTCTGTTGTTGTTTGGTTTGGTTTCTTGTGGGGAGGAGAGTGGAAGGGCTTAGAGATTTGGGCCAGAAAGGTCCTTGAATACTCTAAGAAGGGATTGATGGGTTATTCTGGTAGGAGTGTGGAAGACAGCAATGACAAGAAATCATAAATAGTAGAAGCCTACATTAAGGCTGCTATAGAAGGGAACAACGAATGGGAGAGAAGCCATTCGTGTGCTGTTTTGACCAAGAATCTGTCTTTATTTTGCCTGTTGCCTGAGAAATGGAGTGAAGCTCAATTGAGAAATGACAGACTGTTATATTTGGCAGAGAAAAATCGTAGGACATGGGAACATTCAGGCTGTGTTACTATGACCCTTAAAGATCAGGGTATCACTGAAGAAAAGACAACTGCACTGCATTAGAACAATGGGAGGGGTGTCCTGAGAGCAAAAGCACACTCATCAGATATGCCAACTTGAGAGGATCCAAGTTCATTTCAAGGAGGAAAGCCTAAACAGGAGGGGGTTCCCTGTTCCTTGAAAGCATCTGCCTAGGAGAGTTTCCCCAGGGTCATCACACAGAAGTGGACAAAGCTGTGGTCCGGTAGGTCCAAGCCCTTTCTCAAGCTGGTGACAGAGCATGGCAGTGTCACCTACAGCCTGTGGTCATGGACAAGAGACAAGGCACAGAGATGTATGGCTGAGATAGAATTCCAGAGAGGCCTTTGTGTGAAGGTAAACCCTCAAACGCTGGGGAGACTGGTGTATCCGAGAAGGCAGGACCATGGGACATACAAAAGTGTGGGATGCAGACATGGAACAGAACCAGCTCAGGAAATAATCTGTGCGCTGAAGTCGGCAGAACAGAAACTGTGAGGGGTGGTGCTGCTCAAGCCTTTTGAAACCCAGCTAATTACATTATCAGATCCAGATGCCAGACATGGAGCTTCAGGATGCAGAGTTTGCCCCGCTGGATTTTTGCTTTGCTCTGGTGTAGTTTTTAGTGCTCTTTGTTTGTTTGTTTAGTTTTCATGCTGGGCTCCAATTCTTCCATTTTGAATTAGACAAATTTACTCTGTGCTATTATTATATGTTGGAAGTACATAATTTTTTTTTAAAGAAGAGCTCACAATTAGGAAACTTTGGACTTTTAAAGTTTTGGAATTGTTGAAGACCATAGAGACTTTAAGGTTGAACTGCATACATTTTAGTTTATAAAATCATCAGGAGGATACGGGGGCAAAGAGGGAAAAGTTACAGCTTAACAGGGATGTGTTCTGATTTCAAATTGATAAAGGGTAGAGTTGTAATAGTTAGTGTTTCTAGTCAACTTACAGAATGTAGAATTGCCTGGGAGTGAAGCTCTGGGATGCCTGTGGCAATTATCTCGAGAGAGAGCCCATCCCCTAGACAAGGTCTTTTGGACTTTAAGAAGAGGAGAAGGCAAGCTGAGGACTACTGTGCGTACATTAGTCTCTCTCTGTCTCCAGATTGTGGACATGGTATAACCAGCTGCTTCCAGCTCCTGCTGCCTTGACTTTCCTACTATAAACTGTGAGGTGAAATAAACTCTTTTCCCCTTATGTTGCTTACATAAAAATATATTATCACACCATACTACAATCATAGACCCAGAGAGTCTGGGTAACAAGGAGGGCCCAAGGAGGGAATGTGTGGATCTCCCTGGGAAGGGGAAATAGAGATCTCCTGAGTGGACTGGGCAGGGGATGGCAACCTTGGAGATTGGAGTGGAGGGTGGGTGGAGAAGGTGGATGCTGAAAGAGTTGACTGGACATGGGGGTTTTATGGTTGGGTAGAAGATTCCCATGAGTCTAAAAGGATGACCCCAGCTAAGATTCCTGGCAGTAGTGGACGCATAGCCTGACTGCCCAGCCCCTGTGATCTGATTGGGAACTACTCCTGTTGTCATCAGGAGAGCCTTCATCCAGTGACTGAGGGAGGCAGATGCAGAGACCCAAGGTCAAACATTGGACCAAGTTTTAGGAGTCCTGCTGAGGAGAAGGAGGAGGGATTGTAGAAAACAGGGCTCAGGAACATCACAGGAAAACCCAGAGATGCCTCTAACCTGGCTCATGGGAACACACAAAGTCTGAACCAACAAGGAAGCCTGCATGGGACCGACTTAGGCTCTCTGCATTTATGTGACTGTTGTGTAGCTTTGACTATATGACTTCTGTCCCTGGTCCTTTGGCTGGCTCTTGGGAGCCTGTTCCTCATGATGGCTTATGTAACCCAGCCTGAATAAAGGACTATGTGCTTAGTCTTAAGGCAGCTTGATATGCCATACTTTGCTGATAACCCACAGGAGGCCTACCCCCTTCTGAGTAAAAACAGAGGAGGGGTGGATTGAGGGGGGTCAGAGGAGAGGAGGGTGGAGTAGGAGGATAGGGGAGAGGGGATGCTGCAGTTGGGATGTAAAATAAATAAATAAGAATTTTAAAATATACTATTACACAACTAGAAGAGAAACTACGACTAGTTAAAGGTGATCATGAAATTTAAAAGCACAGTACAATGTATTTTATTTAATCATGGCTGTTTTACCTGTTTTCATCCATCAATATAAATAAATATTTAATTCATTTAATAACTATAGAACTTACAACATTTACCTAAAAATGGATATATGGAGAGAGAGAGAGAGAGAGAGAGAGAGAGACAGAGAGAGACAGAGACAGACACAGAGACAGAGACAGAGACAGAGAGAGAAAGACCCAAGACATTTCAACACAAATTTCCCTATATCTATGTCATAAGTGATGTTAAATTTTCCAAGAAGGTCATATATATTATAATTTGGAAGTAAGAAATGTGTGTTTATGGTTTAGACAAATGCAAGACAAACATTTAACCAAGCTTAATTATTAAATAACCTTAAACAATCAATAAAAAAGCAAATATATCACATGTATATGACAGACTCATATGTGCTACAGATTAGAATGTATGCTAGTATTTATGTAAGTAGTGCAGATGTAGATTAGCATAAGAATGTGATAATGAGAATTTACATCAATACTATTACAGATTAACATTTCATTTTACTACATTCTAATATATACATATGCTTTCCTTTCCCTTTTTGAATTTGTGTTTCATTAAATTTGAAGGTGGTAATCTGACTCTAGCAAGTTGCTCATGACCTCAAATCAAACAAAAAAAACAAATATCAAAAAAGAGTCATGTTTTTAATACTACAGTTTGACTTTTAGAGAAGTCTTGTGACTCTGGCTATCACAATTTTATTTTGGATGAGTTCAAACTTGCGCTGGTTGTACAGTGCACGTTAACAGACAGACTCACAGTGCTGCTTTGTGTTGCAGCCTCTCAGCGTATTTTCATATGGCATCTTCAGATTATTATGATATGCCGTAGTTGATTGCAAGAGTCATAGGTGGCAGAGATTGCTGCATATCCTTGTTTATAATGTGTTTATGATGAAAATTAGCACTGACTACATTTTTCATATGTACAGAATATGCATCAGTTGTGATATATCTTAAAGGTGATGAAATTGCAACATGTTTTCTCATGTTTCTCCTATAGTCTGTCTGAGATTTCTCTTTATATGCAGAGTTATCTCTTTTAACATTCACTGTGCCACTACTTCCGAAAGATTTAGTTACATTATCAGAAGCAGAAATTTGGGCATTTAGTTTTGTACTTATTGGCATTATATTTACATAGTATTTTTATGTTTTAATATGTAATGGTTTTTAGATTTTGCTTATTTTGGAGATTTGAAAATACCTATGTTGCTTTAGCAATAGCAAACATGGGTTCAACAAAATGTTTCCTTTGTGTGCATGTCCTGAGTGCATAGGAATGTGTGCGTGTATGTGTGTTTGTATGTATATACACTATACTGTGGTTGACTTACTTAAAAACAGTCATCAGCATTTTATTTGCCTTCCATTGAAGTGTAAACAATGGCTTTCTTGAGCAACTAGCTCTTGATATAAAAAATAAGAATCTAGGAAATGTCCATCTGCTGTATGTGACAATAAAAAAATTATGGGATGTAAATATTAACAAAATAATCCAATCACTGTTAATGATTCTATTCTGAAAGGTAGTTTGAAGTTTACACATATCTATATTTTATTTCAGGCAGTGACTGACATACCAGTTTGAATAAATAAGCATTACAGATATATTCAGAAACCATAGCCCCAATTAATGGATTTTACACTAAAATAAATCCATGTATGCATCAATCAACACTCATATTGTAACACTACCATGATCACATAGCTATTTCTATTTTAAGAGTTTTTGGCCAAAAGATAAGACTCAGTGATAGGGAATTTACCTATTATAGTAAAGAAGTAATCTTTAGTATATGGCTGCTTCTGTTCTTGGTGTTTAATTTCATTTTATTTTCTCTGTTAGTCCGCGCTCTAGTGGTTCAAAAAACATCATTATCGTAGAAATAAGCTATTCATTGTTTTCATCATTTCTCATTTCAAAAGGATACTCATTCCTGTATATCTGTCTTCCATATGGCTTGATCCTCATGCAGACTCCTGTACATGCTAAATGACTTTTCTTTGTGTTGGCTGAACAGTGAGCCACAAGCTTTGTTGTAACAACAGACATCTTCAACATTCTGTAACTACCAGCTCAGTCTTTGATGGCTTCTTCTGCCAAAAGGCTAATTTAAAAATTTATCCATGTCAGCCTTTTCCTGACTTCATATTTACTTGATATTGGACATGTGTATACAGTAAAGGAATGTATGTTGAATTTTAATGTACATGAAGCAATTTTCATCGGTAAGCATTGTCATTACCCATAGGTAAAAATGGGGACCTTGTTTAATTTCTAGTATTGGTTCTAAGTTTTTCTTGTTACTCATTAAAAATTCTAAGGCAATAGTAAGAGAATTCTTACTGTGAATTTTCCCAGGAGGGGTTAGCATTGGAATTGTTGAAGTGAGTGAACAAATATGAAGGAGTTTCCTTTAAATTTCTTAAAATATGTTTTCATTTAAAGAGGAATTTTACATATTTTCATTCAAAATTTTAATGGCAATTTGCTTATATGTGGATTTTGTTTTCAATTAGGTGTCACAATATGGGAACTGATGACCTTTGGAGGAAAACCCTATGATGGAATTCCAACCCGAGAAATCCCTGATTTATTAGAGAAAGGAGAACGTCTGCCTCAACCTCCCATCTGCACTATTGATGTTTACATGGTCATGGTCAAATGTAAGACTGGAAAATAATTTTACTACCTGCATCATTATCCTTAATAAAATAACAGTTTAGATGGTTCTGGCTGCAAAATATTTCTCTGCTTTGGAAAACAGCATCAAGAATATTTACAAAAGCAGAATATAAATGCCTGTTTGTTGTGATTACACTATAGTATACACTATACTGTGGTTGACTTACTTAAAAACAGTCATCAGCATTTTATTATGAAATAATAACATGCTTCAAAACTACAAAGTAAAAAATATGTAGTTCTTACTCCTCTAATTTTCATAATTTCCAGGCCTATCAAACTTTGTCATAGAGATAATTATTTATTAGTAATAACATTAATGTTAATCTTTATGGGAAAATATCTAAACATCACTGATAGTCTACAACTGATTTAATTGGTTATAGATTTAATCATAAGTAAATTAGCAAAGCAGGTTGGGAATCAGAAGAGGTAAATCTGCATTGAAGTAAAGATTATAATATTTACTTTTTGATTTGATCGTTCGTTTACATCAAATGTTCTTACTTTTCCTTCCATCCCTATACCCCAGACACATATGTATTATAATGTGTTTTAGAAGCCTAGACTCTTAATTTTAATAGAATTAAATAAGTCCCTGGGGTTTCTGACTTAATTTAAGTGAGATTAACAGGCAGTCATCTCTCTTGTGTAATCTCAGGTTTTCCAGTTTTGATTTACATAGGGTTAAAGAAAGACACAGAGTGGTGAAGGTGAATAAGCATTTTATTAATAAGAGACTCAGAGACGCTGGGCCCAGGTCTTCTCATGTTTATATTCATGACATGTGTGATCCATTCTGACAGGAAGGGAAGGAATAAAAAATGTTCCTTGCAGTGCAGGTCAGCATGCCCTTTTCTCTAAGCATAGTCTTATTTACTCAATATTTAGTTAGAGAGAAACAAATATCTCACTGTGAAGTTAACCTTTTTTGGCTCCAGTAGCTTTGTCATTAGCATCTTGGCATTAACAATCGTTTTTGGAAATGAATACCCATAAGAAGCAGAGTGTTTGAGCTTAGGAGAGGTGACACAAAGGATGCATAAGATGATACCCTGGGTTTCCAGAACAAGAACAAAAAATTAACTCTTTGGAAATAGAAAAAAAAAGAAAGAAAAGATCCCTAGCTGTATTAGATCAGGCCTTGTTTACTCGATGTCCTGAAGAGAGCTTAAAAACATTCATATCTTGTGTGATAATTTGATACCATAATCAGCATCAGCTGTGATTTGAGTACCACAATGTGACGGTGGAAAGACAGGCAAACATTTTGCCTTATTAGGTAATGCACATTGAGAGTTTTACCGTTTGGTTTTCCCTTTCCCCTGGAGGTTTCAGGCTTTAGAAAGGGATCATTTGGCAAGGTAATCAAAGGAAGCTTGGTGCTGTTATTCTTGTCATCTCATCAGCTAAATGCAGGCAGTTAAGATCTGTTTTTATCTAAACTCCCAGCTAAAGAATCCCACCTACCTTGAAAACTGGTAGTTTTGTTCTGGGAGAGCTAATATTAAGATAACCTAATAGGCGTTGCTGAACACACACTGCAAATCATTTTGTATTTTTCTTCTCGCCAGGAACAAACTGGCAAAAGGTAGTTGCTTTCAATTCCCCATTTCAACCTTTGGCCACTGTACTATAATGACAATATTTTCTACCATGTATTCTTGATATACAACTTCACATTTTATCTCAATTATCTTGTCTATAAGCATCAAAGAGTGTTTTTAAAACATTATCTCTACACTCCAAAACAAGAGCAACAAAAGCTGAGGTGCTAAAATTTCCCATAGTTAGCTTGGAATCTATTTTCAAGGGCAAGAAATAATTTGAATAGGATCGGTAAAATGAAAATTGGGTTTCCACAGAGAAGATTCAGCAGTTAAGAGCTTGTGCGGCTCTAGCACCAGACTCAAGTTTGGATTTTTTTATTTTATTATTTTAATTTTAAATAGCTTGCTTCACATGTCAATTCCAGTTCCCTCTCCCTCCCCTCCTCCCACACCTCCCCACCACCCCCTAGCCTCCCACTCTATTGCCACTTCCTTCCACATAGGGGATATCTAGAGTCTGTCATTTCACTCAGGGTAGGGTCCAGGCACTCCCTTAAGAGTCCTGGCTGAAAGAGCATCCCTCTTTGTGTTATGACACACGAAGTCCGTTTGTATGCCAGGGATAAACACTGATCTACTGCCCAGGGCCCCATAGGTTGCCCGGGCCTCCTCACTGACTCTCACACTCAGGGGGTCTGGATCAGTCCCATGCTGGCCTCCCAGATGTCGGTCTAGGGTCCAAGAAGAGCTCTGCCTTGTTCAGATCAGCTGTCTCTGCTGGTTTTGCCAGCCCATTCTTTGCTAATTTGCTCATCGCTCCTCTCTCTCTGTCACTGGGTTCCTTGGGTTCAGTTCAGTGTTTAACTGTGGGTGTTTGCCTCTGCTTCCATCAGTCACTGGATGAAGGTTCTAGGATGGTTATAGACATCAAGTTTATTATCAGGAATGGGCATTTAAGGTGGTCTCTCCACTTTTGCTTAGCTTGCCAGTTGTTGTCATCCCTTTCGATCACTAGAGGTCTCAATGGTGCCAGATCCGTCTTCTAACCTATGATTCCTTCTTCCCCCTATTCTATCCCCCACTCTGATGCCCAAGTCAGGCAACTCACAACCAGCTCCATGTTGATTCAATACCCTTTCCTGGTTACCTGCACACATATGCACATACCTAGAAATAGACACATAATTAAATCTAAGTTATATTTTTATTCTTGCCTTTATTTTTATAGTATATTGCATTCCATGATGTCATGATCCTGAGTTACAGCCTTATCTAATTGCCTACTTCTTTCACCAACTTTCTTTCACTGAACTTCTTGCTGATTATTATTTAAAAAACAATACCTTTCACATCTTGCCTTTATTTTTCGAAATTTCAATGTCACTTTCTCCAAGTATGGATACACTAATGCTTTCCTCTGCATTAATTGCCAGGTTGGATGATCGATGCTGACAGCAGGCCTAAATTCAAGGAACTGGCTGCTGAGTTTTCAAGGATGGCTAGAGACCCTCAAAGATACCTAGTTATTCAGGTTAGTCATTCTGACTTTGCTGGAAACATCCAATAATCAAATGACTGTGTGAATAATCTAGGAATTGTTGGATCTGGATATGGTTCTATTAACTGAGACAACAAAGGCCATATATATACGGTCATAAAACTAGAAATGACCATGACAAAGGAAAAAGAGGTCTTAAGGGAAAGGTAATTAGGGAGAAGAAGGTAATAAAATACATACGAAACAGAAATAGAAAGACTACTTGGAAAAGGCCGGGCATGAACATGCAGGTGAGAGCTGTGCAAGACGATGGTAAACAAAGGCTAAGTATGAATGAAAATACCATAGCAGTGCCATTAATTTATATGCCAATTTTAGAAGTACAGATGGACTATTTTATTGGAAGGGGTGCGTAGTATTCAAGTAATAACTCAATACAAATGAATTGATGCCTATTTAAGTTAAACAACACACCAAAAGAACATTTTTCTATTCAACACTAGGAATCAAACAGATTGGATCATTTAATTAACGTAGCAGTTTCTCTGTCATTATTTTCACCTGAAGCCTACACAGTTATACCTTGAGCATTCAGGACTATCATTCTTTACTGAAAGGAACCTTTACCTTCAAGCTGACTAACATGAAGACAAATCAGACTTTAGAAGACAATGATTTTCAGTCATTTTCCCCACAAATTAGCTTCCACAAACTGAAATTGTTTACCAAATATTTAAGAAATGATAAGTAGAATGAAGTTTAGCAAGGGTTTTATATCCCTTCCAAGCTCATATATCGTCTCTGTCACTATACTATGCACTGTACTATGATTTTTGCACGGCCTCAATTTAACAATAATGCCATTTCACTATGAGACAAGCCATGGCTGTCTGTATCCTGACTCAGCAGCCCCAGTGAAGCCATTTTAAATAAAAACTGCCTCTTATTGTCTGTTCTTAACCCATGCACCTCCTTAGTAGTGAACTCTCATTCTCAGATCGGAAGCGAGTTGTGGCACCCTTGAGACATGAGCATCATCTGCCCTCATTCTCTTTTTCTTCTTCTGTTGTTTTCTTGTATTCCATTTCCTACCTTTTAATATCTAACCATAATATGGGCTCCTTTTGGCTGGTGGTTAAGCTAAAGATGTTTTGTAGTGATCACACGGATTCTCCAGCTCTTTTATTTTTCGGTCCTATAAACGTACTAATGAAGCCACATGTTATGAAGGAAAGAACATTGATTTGCACATATCTTTGGGCAATCTTTTAGGGTGATGATCGTATGAAGCTCCCGAGTCCAAATGACAGCAAATTCTTCCAGAATCTCTTGGATGAAGAGGATTTGGAAGACATGATGGATGCTGAGGAATACTTGGTCCCCCAGGCTTTCAACATCCCTCCTCCTATCTACACGTCCAGAGCAAGAATTGACTCCAATAGGGTAAGAAGCAATTAGACACAAGTACCATGTTATTTCTGAGAAATAAATTTGTATACATTGATTGCAAGCATAAAAATTTTCAAATAACTATACAGATTACTAGATTAATACTGCATTTTAGATGTCAAAAGCACACTGTACCAACAAAGGATATGCCAAGGTCACCATAGATAACTTTGGAAGTTAAGCATAGACAATAAAGTATGTATCCTAAGATACCACCATTTCAAAAGAAATCATCTTATCCACCTTAAATTAAACAAATTTTAATTGTTAAGAACCAAACTAGTAAGACTTCATATGGTAATGAAAATTCTTACCAACTATGCATTTATTTTCTTTAAAATATTACAGTATACCATAATGTTAATGGCATACTAGCACAACTTTTTAACTCACTGAAGAAACATTCACATTTCAAATATTAAATCCACTGTACATGAGTCTCAGTTTTTCACTAAGTGCTGTCGGCCCATCTGTTTGTTTTTGAAGATTCACTTGTCAGAACTGGAGAGATGGCATCAACAAGTGTGTACTGCTTTCACAGAAAAGTTCTGATCCCAGAATCCATGTCAGGCAGGTGAAAACCCCAGCTATTGGAGATCTAGCACCCTCTTTTGGTATCTGGGGGCAGCTGCACTTAAAACATTCATTTTAAATAAAATGAATCTTTTTAAAGTAGTTTTAATTAAAAAGTAACTTGTCCACTCAACACGTCAGTGCCTCTGCTTATGAGATGTTACCACACATTAGAAAGTCAAGGAATTTCTCTATAACTCGTGATTTTAAAAAATATCTAGGTGTCCTGATAGTAAGGAAATGAAACCAACCTAGATGACCATCAAGAGATGAAAGGATAATGAAAATGTGGTACATATAAAAATGGAAAAGTAATCAGCTGTAAAGAAAAATAAAATAGCTAAGTCTTCAGGAAAATTGATGTACCTGAAAACTGTACTATTAAAATTATAATATTAAAGGAAGTAATGAAGCTCAGAAAGAAAACAAGAAAAAAACAGTATGTTTTCTCTTGCATGTAGATCCTAGCTTATAATGTATACATGTATTGTTAAAGATATGCAAGTGTGAGTATAGGATAAAATCTAGACAGAAAATCAAGACAGGGTACTATTAGGTGACAAGGAAGGACAGGATATTGGGAAAAGGACACTTGTCATTAAAGAGCTGCAACATTGTTTTTTTTCCCTAGCTTCACCTCCCTCATAGTTGTTGTCATTGTAGTCATCTTCCTCCTGCTCCTCCTCCTCCTCTTTCTCCTCCTCTTTCTCCTCCTCCTCTTTCTCCTCCTTCTCCTGCTCCTCCTCCTCCTCCTCTTTCTTCTCCTCTTTCTCCTCCTCCTCCTCCTCTTCCTCCTCTTTCTTCTCCTCTTTCTCCTCCTCCTCCTCCTCTTCCTCCTCTTTCTTCTCCTCTTTCTCCTCCTCCTCCTCATCTTCCTCCTCCCCCTCTTTCTCTTCCTTCTCCTGCTCCTCCTCCTCCTCCTCCCCCTCCTCCTCCTCCTTCTTCTTCTTCTTCCTCTTCTTCTTCTCTCTTTTTTTGTTTTCTTTTGTTTTTTTCAAGACAGGGTTTCTCTGTGAGACAGTCCTTACTGTCCTGGAACTCACTCTGTAGACCAGAGTGGCCTTGAACTCACAGAGATCCACCTACCTCTGCCTCCTGTGTGCTGGGATTAAAGGTGTGTGCCACTACCACCTAGCATCTTCTTCTTCTTTTTTTAGTGAATAAGTAATTCAACTCTCTGGGTATAGAAGTAACAAGAGCCATAAATACATAAATAAATAAATAAATAAATAAATAAATAAATAAATAAATTGATAACAAAAGTGTAAAACCCTAAATGAAGCAGTGATAATTCAGAATGACCATTCTAACTATAGAGCAGCAGACTGATATGTTTGTAGTCTGGGACTGGTCTAGCGTGGGAGTAGGTTCCTTAGACCAGTTGTGGGGTGTTTTTGCTTGTGAGTTAATTAGGAGTACATGATTCTATTAAATTTTTAATGTGTCTGGGGTAATGGAAGAGCTACAGAGTCATAGACTCAGCATACAGCTTGGCAAGTTCTACAGTAAACTATTTTCTTGGCCACTAGTGGGTATGGAGATATAATGAGTTTAGCTCTACACTCAGTGTCTTCCATTTATAAGATAAAAACACAATTCTTTAATGTTTTCTAGGAAGCAACTTTTCCCCTTAGTGCCTCCATCTCAAAACATTGTCGCTATAGAAAAACAAAGTGTCCTAGCTGTCTTGGCCATAAACTTAGGAGAAAATTCACATTTGTGGTCATTCTGTAAAATGGAAGCAACTTTATTTCAAACTGACAGTAATAATGAAATAAGACCTAGATTTTACTATGTTAACAACTCTTAGTTCCTATGAATACCCAATGATGTTATTTTACTATTATCAGGTCTTACAAACAAGAAATCGGTCGCAAAGAAGGAAGGGATTAGAATGATGTCCCGTGACTAGCCAGCAAATGAGAATTCCTAGACAGGCCCTCTGTCTCTACTGCAGTGTCCCTTGTCTGTAAAGATCCAAATTTATTTCCATGATATGCATGTTATTCTTGGCATCAACCTCAGTGTCTGGGACTTGTCAGTAAATTTACCTAGTAATTACTCAAAATGCAAATCCTCTGGCTTAAGTCTTTCAAACTTCTCCCTCCATTTGAAAGAACTGATGCATAAAGGCAAGGTGAAGCCAGGCTAGTAAGCACACCTGTATGCTCAGCGCTGGGGAGACTGAGGCGGGAGGACTTTGTGAATTCGATGCCAATCAAGGAAAGTAGTGATTCCAATCCCTGGCTGGATAAACAATGAGATCCTGTCCCAAAAAGTAAACAAAGGAAAAACAAAAAACATTAGAAGGAGGGAAAATAGGGAGAAAGGGAGAAGGGAAGGATCGATAGAGGGAGCAAACATTGAGACCTCAGTTTACTTTTCTATAAAAAAATGTAATTCCAACCCAAACTGAAGATTTTTCTCATGGGCCCAGTACGGGCAGATAACTAATGATTAATTATTTAATTGATAAACCGGACATGGTGGTGCATGCCTTTAATCCTAGCACTCAGGAGGCAGAGGCAGGTGGAGCTGTAAGTTCTAGGCCAGCCTGGTTCACAGAGCAAATTCCAGGACAGTCATGGCTATACAAGGAAACCCTGTCTTGACAAAACAAACAATAAATTAATAAATAAGCAAACAAATAAATTTTACTACATAGCAAGATGTGCATCTCAGTCTTTGTGAGAATTAGGAAAGTCCATAGGTATAAGATGGGAGCACTTTCCCTGCTCACTTTATAGAACAAAAATGATGAAATTTCACTACTGTATTTATCGTTCTAAAAGACAAATAAGATCACCTTTCAATTCAACAATCAGTTTTCCAGGAAAGAGTTTTCTTTCTTCAAGTGAAAATCTATTCAAGATACCAAGACTAAGGCTTGCTTCTTTTTTTTATAAGAATTCTGAAATTCTAACTTTTTCTTCACTTTAATTTATAATACTTAATGCAAGTAATTCTTAATGACAGTCTGAACTAACTAGACAGCTTGACAGAGGAGAAATCACACTGGGGAGTCCTTGACCTTCAGTCTTTTTCTCTTCTGCATTTTGATTTGCTGCTTGCAAACTCCTATTTACTTTTCCAGTGTCTGGAAAGGGAATTGGACTTAATACCACTTACTTAGGAGTATTGAAAATTTTTAAAAAATTGTGTATGTGTGCTCGTGTGTGTGTGTGTGTGTGCATGTGTGCACATGTGTTCTATGTTGCACCTGTAGAAGTTCAATGATACCCTAATGTGGCATGTTCACTGTTCACCTTGTCCCAGACAGTATCTTTCAGCCACTAATGTGTATGCAGAGATAATGGGCCAGCAATTTTCCTGTCTCCAGCATACTTCTCACTGTAGGAGTGCTAGTGTACTTGGACATCTCACCATAGGAGTGCAAGTATTATAAACACGTGCTAGTTTACCTAGACATCTCACTGTAGGAATGTAGGATTATAAACATGTGCTAGTATCACTATCTTTAGGTTCTATGATCCCAACTCAGACCCTCATGTTTTCACAGTAAGTACTTCTTCGAGTGAGTCATCTCCCCAGCTCACAAAAAATTCTTGGTCATTTATATTGCCCTAATTATAAAAGTATGGATTTCTGTAATGCTTATATCAACTTCTAGCATGTATAAATATTATTTCCGTCCTTTTCTACAGTGTTGTTATATTATTTCATAGTTACTTCAATTTTAGATTCTCTGGCCAAGCTATATAATAAGGGACTGTATTAAAGTGAATAAGGATGGGATGTTTATAAATATGTTTCATAAACAGTTAATACAATATAAGTACTCAGTTTTTAAATGCAAAATATATTTTCTGTGTATTTTCTTCAGTAATGTTTTGGCTCTCTCTGTAGCATTATTTCCCCATTTTTAAATTAATACACCCATACCCATCTATATGAGTGATAGACAATTAAGAATTACATTGTTTCTAGTAACAGGCAAATAAACATTCATCTTTTAGAAAGACACAATTTTTATGTTTTACTTTTTTATTTGTCAATAGCATCAATACTCATGGTTCCTTCTTATGTTTGTTACTCATGACAAGGCTGTTGACTTGTTGATTTTTTGATTCTGTGTATATTTCCTAACATCAAACAAATTATCAAAGAAATCTCTTCTGCAGCATATTAAATTGTTTTTAAATGTCACGAATGAGCCAGCAAGATGTTTCAGCAGGGTAAGACCCTTGCCATAAGACCTGATTGTCATAGTTGGATTCCCAAACCTACATACATGGTAGAAAGAAAGAATCAGTTCTTGCAAGTTGTTCTTTAACCCCCAAACATACACTGTGGTCAATTCATGTATGTATAGACGACATTAGTAAATAAATGAAATGTAAATTTTTAAATCTGTATGTATTTTGACAAATTGTAACCTTAAGACAATGAATAAATTAACA